AAAAAAAATATTTGCATTCATTCTTGAAACATGATCTTTCAACGAATGAACAATGATGCACTTCAAAAGTCTTACTTCCTCTTATCATATTGATTGACTTACTGTCTCGCTTATAAATATCACGGTAGTGAAATTAATTCGGTGGATAGAGCTCAACAGGCGAATGTTGCTAATGACGTATGTTAGATGAGATGGACGATAGATGATAGTAAACAACATACGAAGCGATTACTATGACATGTCCACATATCCCCATCCTGATTATCCTATCATAGGGCTATCATCAAATTTAGTCTCTTGTTTGAAATAATCTTTATTAAACAAACATAGGATGTGGGTGGTTGCCCGTGTGGCTGTTGGGATGGGTGTAGGTGTACATGTTGGTAAACGGACAACTTCTACCCACACCCGCATGAACTATATGTGATGAAAAAGAAAATGACATATGATTTGGTGATATGGTGTGTTATTTTGTTGATAATGATGTTGGATGATTTGATTAGATGAAATGGAACGATAAATTTTAATTAGTAATGATGAATAAAGAATGAGATGTTTAAAATGTATATTGAGATTTGATAATATATCGAAACTATCACAATCATCAAGATGATCAAAAATATTTTATAAAAAATTTCATTCAACAAATGCTCAATACAAGAAAATTCTATACTATAATAATATACGCAGAAAAAATTAAAATAAAACTACAAATATATTATTGACCAACTCATTCTTATCAAATGTTAAACCTAAAATAATGAAAAAAATTATTTTTTTAATTTAATGAATTGTAGCAAACAATTGAAACTTACTTTATAACTTTTTTTATTCTCTTACCAGATAATACATGTTCATTTAATTGTCGTTCGACTTGATTCATAGAAATGTTAAAAGATATGATCTAGAAAAAATTATATTCAATTAGAATTTTTTTTTTAAATAGTAAATAAAATGATTTGTTAACTATAGTTGAAACAAAATTTTTATGTAAATATAGAAAAGCCTATTAAAGAGGTGCGAAGAGAAAAAATATATTGATGATCTTTCAATTATTTTTTGAATCACTTACCTGATTCAGACGAACTTAATCTATTAGAATCATAAGTTATCGATTTCGAACTGGATTATAATGAATTTTAATCTAGACATGAATCTTTTCACGTAAGAATTTCTATTATCAAATAGAAAGAATTCATCAAAAAAAATGTCTCAACCAAAAGATAGCTCATTGAACAAAAAATGAAATTTGCATCAAATTTCATATAAAAGATATTATATTTGAGATTTATCCATGTTTATGCATATGATATAAGTATAAAACTATCATTATATTTTCTCATGATAACGATTTTTCTATGCAACTGTTAAGTATGACATATTTTAATCATGTTAATAAACTATTATTAATATATGCTGATATCTAATATAAATAATTTCAATGATTTTAGTAATCAGTTTAATATATCTTTATATTACTATAATACAGTGACGTAAATGAATTCTAGAAAAATTAAAGATCAACAAATAGATTAGTTTTTGTGTTTTTTTAGATATAAAATTACGATTATTTCTCAGACAATTTTTAGTATTAAATCTGTTTTCAAACAAGTACAACACAGAAATGCAACTTGATGTTGTTTTTCTTACCTAAACATTTAAAAGTATTTTACTAGTCAATGCAGCAACAATAGTATGTCCAACAACTGAAGCCATTGCAGGAATTGAAACAATTACAGGAGGAACTGCAACAGTGCGAATTAGACTTGGAGGAGCAGCTCTAAAAAATTCTTTTTTTTTTTGGATAAATAAAAAAATGAAATGTAGATAATGGCGTAGTGAGAGGGTGACGATGAACGTATTCCACCACCTGAACGAGCGACGCAGCATTTTTTTAAAGCATACATTTGCATGTAGAGAGAAATCAATGTGAATAAAAGATAAAAATTAGTTATTTATATAGTGACACTTTGTGATATTAGAGGAGAGTTTGATTGACTCATGAAATCATTTGATCTGATCAATCATTTATTCTAGAATATTCTTGTATCTTTTCTTTTGAAAATAAAAGATTTCTTATATTCGTTTACAAAAAAAAAAAGACTGACCTTGGTTTTTTTCTTTCAAATAATATTTTGATTGAAGAAAAAAATATTCAATGTTATATTTTATACTATTTTATTAAAAATAAATTTGTCATAAGCATACATAGATGCACAAAAGAACTACAATTTAATCAAAAAAACCATCAACGTCATCAGTTGCTGCTGGTGGTGGTGGTGAACGAGTACTTGGTAATTCACGAGCATTCTTCTTTGAACTAATTGGAGATTGATGTGAACTCTCATCAAGATTTTCAGAGGGTGGTGATGGTGATGATTCTTTTCGACGAGGTGGTGTTTTAATATTAGCTTTTGGAGGTGTTCGAGGACTTGCTAAAGGAGAAACAATGTTATCTTTCTTTGAAACATTCTTCGTGGCTTCTGATGCATTATCAAGTGATTTATTCATGACAAGACTTCTGTCAACATTTTCATTGGTATCATCGTTATCACTTTCATGAGGTAAAATAGCATCTTCATCATCGACAACTGATACATCATCTCTATTACCTGGTTTAGGTGTAGATGCTAAAAACAAGAAAAAAAAAAATTTTGTTTTTCATATATTATAAAATTAATTTAGCTTATAATGCTACCTTTATGTTTAGGAGGAATTGGTGATGATTGCAAACTATGATTATTTAATGCATCTTCTTCATTATCATTATTGTTAATCTCAAAACGAGGTGAAGGTGCTAAATAAAGTAAAATTAAATTCTAAAATTTGATTTAAGAAAAAAAATACGAACTATGATTATCAACATCACGAATACTATCTGCATCATCTCCATGTACTAATACATCATTTTTAATAACTGATTGTGTTTTTCCACCTGATTCTGGTATAATTGTATTAGCTAGAAATAAAAATGGATTAAAAGAATTCTAAAAAAAATAGAATAAAATAATACATACGAAGTTTAGTTGGTGTTTTTTCTATTTGAGGAGGTGGATGAGGTATTACTTGTTTTTTCGAACTTTCTGATATTTGTGATTCATTTTCGAATAGATTCTCAACACTAGCTTCATCATCATCAGCAATACTTTGATTTTTTGGTGTCGATTGAAACATTGGTTTTCTTGGAATATTATTCAATGAACTTCGACCAGTATCTGTAGCTGTTAGAGGTTCAGGAACAATTTTTTTATCAGGTACAACAGATTGTGATGGAACAGCTTTAGCTTGTATTTTTCGTGGTACAGTTGTTGTTGTTGTGGTTTTTTTAACAGGACGTGGAATAGGTGGTTTAGGTTCTTTAATAGGTGTTGTACCATCCCATGCAGATTTAACTTTACTTTCAGCTTTAGCGACACGTCTTTTTAATGCTCGATCAGCACTAGGTATTTTCTTATGAGTTTTTATTTTTTTATTTGGTAATACAGGTGCTCTTTCTCTGTTAATTGATGCAATTAATTCAGGTTTAATAGTTGGTTCAAAATATTTCGGAGGTTTGTCAGTTGAAGATTTAGATGATGGACGCCAAACAGATTCATGTGGTTTAGGTGGTGGTGGTTTACTAGTTGGTTCAAAATATTTCATAGGTTTGTCAGTTACAGATTTAGATGATGGCTGCCAAACAGGTTCAGGTGTTTTAGCTCGTGGTTTACTAGTAGGATCAAAAGCACGAATAGGTTTTGTTTTATTTGCAACGCTCGCCGGATGCCAAGGAGGTTCATGTGGTGGTGGTTTTAGTTTTGAAGGTGGAGCATGAGAACCAATAAATTTAGGACGTTTAATTGAACCATTTGGTCGCCATGTAGGTGCAGTACTGGAAAAATAAATATCAGATTGACGAAGTGGAATTGGAGCACTATCAGGACGTATACGAAAATTTACGGATGATGATCGTGGACGTTCTTCTGGAAAGAACACAAAAAAATTTATTTAAAAATTTTTCATTTTGTTCTTTTTGTTTTTCTAGTATTGCAAACCTTTGCCACTAGCTAATCGACTTTTTGGTTGTATTGGTTTATTACCATAATATGGTGCTCGAGGTGTACGATAAGTACTTGCTTGTGAAAAAGAATTTCGTCGAATTGGTGAAACATCAGCAGGCCATGGACTTTGATTATTAGGACGATTTCGAATATTTTTAACAAAACCTTGATCACGTGTTGGATAGAGATCAATTGTCATGGGATCATTATATGAATATGCATCCGAAGTTGAAATAAGAACTTGATCTAAATTAGATAATGATTTTTGTCGCCGTGGAATATGAGCTTTGTATGTTATTCGAGCATTATGTTTTTTTTTTATTGGTTCGAATTCTTCTATTGATGATGATGATGACGATGGTAAAGTTTGTTCACTTGGAGAACGTGAACGATAGGTTTCATGTGATATTGGATAATGATGAATATAATGATGTCTTGGTGATGGTTGAGATCGATTGGTTAATTCACATTGTGCAAGAGTATAAGACAATTCATCATTAATTTGACGTAATTTTGATATCGATTGTGAAGGAGGAGGAGGAGGAGGAGGAGAATATACAGGAGGAGGATAATGATGAATTATCACAGAAGATGAAGGTGATGGATAATCAATAGATTCAGAATGATAATCATTAGGATTATACAAATCAAGATTAAATATTGGATTTGATGATGTTAAAGAAGGAGATATAGGTCGATTTCGATATGGTGATGAAATGGGTGAAGACATGGGCATATACATAGTAGAAGGACGGACAAGATTAGGTGAAGCATTGTAAACTGAATCGAAATTGGACATAGCCTGAATATAAGGAATTGAACCATCCATTACGTTTAAATTTTATTCAAGAATTAAAGTATTTATCTTTCACTAATCAGTTGGACATGCGACAAGTTGCTGTGAAATGTTTCCATAGCAACATTACAATTAATGAATTATAGAAATAGATTGAATGTCATAAAAAAATTATGATAAGAACAGAGTGACTCTAAAGAATGTATTATCAAAAAAGAATAGAATAGAAACCTTGAAACAAATTTTAATATAAAATTGTACAGTGCTGCTATCTGTCGAATAGCTTTATTTTTTCACTTTCCTAAGCACATTGTTTTTCTTGTTTCTTGAAATCAAAATTTTCCTATTACTTGAAACAATTCACTGATAAATGACACTGCGATCGACATGACTCTTATTATTCCTGCATTGCATTTTATCAGATCACATTACTTAAAAATCTATAAGGACAGATATAATAATATTGAGAAAATCGCTTCATCATTGTATAGTCTACCGATTATAAACTTTTTCCTATTTAGTGCTAAAACGGTAGGTTCACTCTTCTTGTATGCAAGAACTCTGAGTTTTCAAATTGTTTTAAAGTTTTGAGAAATTTCATATAATTTGTCTGAAGAACGCTCACGAGAGGACCGCCCGCCGTGTTCAACGCCGATTCCCTTCCTTCATAGGTCGTTTGATAGAGGGCATTGAAATAGTAAAAAGCCTAAAAGGATTTGTGCTGATGGCTCTTTCTTGAAAAGTTAGAACCAATTTTCTGTTCTTCCCAGCTAACATGACCAAAAATTGAAAACATTACAACTCAGTCAAGCAAGATCATATAGATATGAAATTTTCAGCACTACAAACTCACATACACTGTTGATCAATCTGAAAATTTTAGATTGTCTGGTCGTTTTGTTCCTGATTTACAGGAGTTTTGCTTTGCATGAAAAAGTACACTCCTGCAATCGACTATCCCAGTGAAAAATAATCATGGAAAAAAACGGAAGTAAACGCATTCAGCAAAACATGGAAAGTTACCTTTCCCATGAAGAACACGTTCTATAGTTTGGCGAATACGTTCAGGAGCGGCAAGAATAAGTTATGCATCTGAAGGAACGCATTCTTTGTCGTTCAACGTTTTTATGGGATGGTTTCTTCTCGGTTCAAAATCGTTCTTCATCTAAAGAGAAAGCTTTCTGAACCGTTCATTTCTGGAACGGTCAGGAACAGATTCCATCAAAGTAAGAATGCTTTCTTTGATCTTCTCTCAAGAAATATTTGAGAATGGATTCTTCGAACTGGTGAGCACGTTCTCTGTCGTTCTCCTAATTGTCGAATACTTTCTCGTGAATTCAAAAATCAGTTTTAAAAATGCAGAACACCTCATCCGTTTCATAATCTACATAAAATTATCCCGTTATATTGAGAAAGAATATTGATTAGCTCCAAATGGTTCGTCAGTGTTCTCAAATATATTAAATTTTTTTCTCATTGTTTTCTGGATAAAAAATTATCATCATAACTCTTAGTTCTTTTATCAACATCAGTTTTCAACGTTGAACTTTTAGGTGTCGATATCGTGACAGTCTTATTTACAATACACTGATAAAAACAATAAGAATAGACACAAGCAATGTGCAACAATAAGAAAGATTCTAGAAAAATTCAGAGTCGTTCGGCAAACGAGTATACAACAATTCTTCTTTTTGATGAACTTAACAAGCTTTTCCCACAATTTGTATTGTATTGCTCATTTAGTTTTATTACATTTTAATAGAAACAATCATTTCTTTTATCTAGTAAACAGAGAATTAGTGTCCTTTCGGTTATTTTTGATATTAATAAAAAAAGTCATTTTTTTCATTTGATAGAAATAAATTCGTGTTTCTTTAGTTTTATTTCATCTTAGTAGAGATAGAGTTAATTTTTCTTTAATTTTTTTTTCATCTTAATAGAAATAGTCATGTTTTCCACCTAATAGACATAGAGTTACTGTTCTTCTAATTTTATGCGACCTTAATGGTAATAGTCATGTTTTCATCTGGTACAGTTAGAGTTAGTTTTCCTTTATTTATATTATTCGACGAGATATAAGAAAATAAACTAACGGTAAAGTATACTAGGGTGTGGGCGTGGGTGTTGTTGTAGAGCAGAAAAAGTTCCACACCAACATCCCCACAGCCACACTCACACCCAAAACCTTCAAGGAACACTTGAAAAGCTAGGCAACAAAAACGAGAAATCTTTGTAGATTCTCTAGGGGCTACGAAGCTCCAACTCATAGGCAATCTACCAGGATTTCTCGTGTTTTTTGCCTAGCTTTTCAAGTGTTCCTTGGAGGTCTTGTCAAGCATTTAGAACTCCTCGGGGATTCTCATAGGAAAAGTTGATTTTGAAGCGTGTTTTTCATCATTTTAAACTGTAATGGTCAAGAACACGTTCCGCGAACGTGAAAGCCCTTTTTTTAAGAAAAGAAAACGTTTCTTAAGAGTGAGAACGCATTCCACTTTTTATGTAGAGCGTTTTTTTCTTAAAAAAGTTTCCTGTGAAAGTGGAACGCATTCTTTACCGTTGTTTTTGATAAATATTTTTCAATGGGATAGTGCTGTCTTTTTTTCGTTTTTAGATAATTACATTTCGTCTGTTTTCATTTCCATCCTTTATTAAATAGTTATTAACATTTGATGATAGGCAATATATGATATTATTTAACTGTCTTTGTTTGTAAATGAACATAAAATCTTGAGAGAAAGTACATTGATTATGATGAACGGTATAAAGTATTACAATCAGTTGATATAATCCATCATTCCAAACAATCTAAAATTTTCAGATTGATCAGCAGTGTGTGTGAGCTTGTAGTGCTGAAAATTTCATGTCTATACGATCTTTCTAGACTAAGTTGTAATATTTTCAATTTTTGGCCATGTTAGCTGGGAAGAACAGAAAATTGGTTCTAACTTTTCAAGAAAGAGCCATCAGCACAAATCCTTTTAGACTTTTTACTATCTGGGTGTCCTCTATCAAACAACCTATGAAGGAAGGGAATCGGCGTTGGACATCTCGGGCAGTTCTCTCGTCAGAGGAGAAATATTCAATTAAAACAATACATATTAAACAATTCCACTTACCTGTTAAAACCGATTTTCTTTAGTTCTTAAAAGAAAAAAGTTATAATATAGTGTGAAATTTTCTTATAACAACCTTAAGAAAAACCTGTAAGAATGATTTGATACCAGAAAATCGCTTTCTGATTTTTTTTCTGCCTTTTGACGATAGAATTTCTGTGATTTTCTGTTTTTTCAAAGTGGTTTTCTGCTTTTTGAATGCTAGGAGGTGGCAGCACTGGTCCGAATATCTGACTATCTCAGCTGAATAATTGAATATCTAAATATCTGAAAATGCCTTTAATAGTTGAATTCAACTTTCAGGTTTGACACTACTGCAAGAATGTATCATAAAATACGATCAGTTGGAGTTTATGACGTAAGAATGTATCATAAAATACGATCAGTTGGAGTTTATGACGTAAGAATGTGTCATACGATACGAGCAGTTGGAGTTTATGACGTAAGAATGTGTCATACGATACGAGCAGCCGAAGTATATGATGTAGGAATGCGTCATCTATTTTTCGTCCTTCTTTACCCTTCTCAATGAGTGCACAACAGCATGTATTTAATCAGAAGCGTTTTGATCGGTTATACAACCAGATAATTGCTGAAAAGAGAAGAATAATTTTGCAACGCAGCTAAAGAAAGTGACAAATGGCATTCAATATTCAATATGCGGAACAACTTCATCGACATGTTGTTATTTGGCTAGACGACCATATTGGTGAAGTGGGCAACAACGAAACAATGAAAAATCGATTCCGTCGTGTCACCTATCCATTGTATACCTTTACCGATGTTGATTCTACTGTTGAGTTCATTCGTGAACAAGAAAGAACCAATATGTCCGTTTTTCTTATCGTTTCGGGTAAACTAGCACACAAAATTCTGCCTATCGTGTTTCCACTCAATTGTATTATTTATGTCTTTATCTTTTGCGTTGACATGATGCAACACATGGAGTTGGCTTCTACCTACATCGAGAAGGTACTCATGCATGATTCTGATGAAAATTTGCTTATTGATCTAACGAATGAAATCGCCAACCATCTCATAAAAGAAGCAGAGAAATGTGCGGAACAAAATGAAGTAAAGCGAGCTGTTGGATTGTTTGACTGGGCCGACTGGCTTTACAATGATGCAGACACACTTCGGCATGCTGCCTGTAAACGTTACCGTGAAATAATTCGAGAGCGCCGTCAAAAACTTGGTACCGATCATGGGATCACATATCTAAATCAGTTTAGTCGTTAGATGAATCGATTCATTATTTTATACAAAGAGAAGAAAAAAGCTTGCATATAACTTTGTCACATTTTTTGCCAAATAAAGAAAGCTCTTGCGACGAAGCAAAATTAATCCATGAGCGTTAACGCTTTTTTTTTCTATATAAAATCTTTTAAGGCATTTTCAAGGTACTTCACCTGTAGAATATCATACAGTACAGTGCGTCTGCTGGATGTGGGCATAAGTGTGATGTAATCGAAGATAAAACCAACACTCACACATCAACATCCAATTTATTCTTTTTGATGACATTTTTAGTAGCAAAAACAAACATTCTGAATGTTAATAAATCAAAGCACAAAGTCAAAGACGACTTGAGATTAACAAAAGAAAATATTTTTTTTATGTTGCTCACATTTTGAAAAGAGTAAAACCTTTATATTTTTGGAACGCAAATTGTTATCGAGCTTGACTTTGTGTGGATCGATAGAGAAGAAGCTAGGCTATTTGCTTATTATACTACAGTTAAGAAAGAATATTATTTTCAAAGTAGATTACGATCATGTTCAAAACTCATGGTGTATCCATCCAAGAAGAAAACTGACGAAAGTTTTTCATCGACTTTGTAATAAGATAGTGCTAAATCTCGAGTTATTTCTCTCTGTTTATTTTAAAATTATTCAAAAAATGGCCACGGTCATTTAACTCGAAAATGGACATTAGTACCCTATGTACATTGATCGTATTTACAGATTCCACTAAAGAGAATGGTAATGCATTAGAAAAATGATTAATTGCTTTACATATATGTTCAATGTTGTCAATAAAAGCTTTCTATTCAATAAGATTAGTTTTTAGGACGCTGAAAACTGTTTATGAAATGTCTTTTTTTTTGTAATTGTCGCTGTTCAGATATGTCGCAACTAATGTCATGCAAAAAGAAAATCGATGTTTTTATTTAATCTATGTAAAAATCCTTTATTGTTATTCATAATATTTAAAAATGTAAATATTTTTTTTTTGTAAGTAATATGTTGAAACAATAATCTTTTATTTCAATCAATATGAGTATTATGTTAAATAACTTTAACAAGTAAGCTATTTTACAAATGGTATCATATTTCTTAGTGTTAAAAAAAAATTAAAAATACATATATATGTAGATATTTTTTATATCAAAGATAAATAATTTTTAGAAATCATCATATATAAAAAAACGAAAACCAAGAAGTGATTGAAGAATTCGTTTGTAAAGACGAGCAGCATTTTCTTCATATATTCTTTGTTGTAATAAAGCTTGTGCATCAAGTTTTCGAGCATTTTTAAGACCAATGAAAAATTGACTGCAATTCGATGAAAGAAGAACTGTATTATTATTATTTTTGAAATAAGCTATTGCTTGAGCACGTTTTTGAAGAACTTGAGTATAGGAACCATTTGTTTCAAAAGTAGTTATAAGTTGTCGAGTATTATTTAAATATGATTGAGCTAAAGTTTGATTTTCACATAATTTTGATGACCATGTAATGTGATTAACGGGACGATAATAAAAACCAAACTTTCCATTCAAATCAGATCCTCGAAGCGAAGAAATGGCCATACATATCTTTAATTCAATGAAGAGTTTTGTTTTATATTATTAAAAGAAGAAAAGAAAAACAACAACAACTTACTAGAATAACGAAGATGGCAATCTTAATCATATTTTTCTGTTTTGAATATGATTGTCGACAACACTTTTTTCTGCTTTATTTATGTGCCATATTATGCTAGCGAATATCAGAACCGAGAAAGAAATATATGTTTTTCTATCGATTATAAAACAACTTCCGAAAAAATGCAAATAATTCATTTATTTCCTTTGACATTAACATTTATTCTCTGCTGTTTATTTTTATTTTGTTGTCAATTATTGTCTGAAGAAAAGAGTATATTAACCTTATTTTATATACTTCTATCTACGAAAATCAAATACTTATTTTTTGCTTTATGTCATGATTCTCGATCGTATTAGTAATACATGACCTTTTCGCTATGGGCAAAAAAAAAACGTACGTTGCCAGTCTTTTCAATGCTTGAAAAATACTTGTTGTGTTTTTTTTTTATTAAGAAAGAATTATATTTACAGAAAGTCTTGAGTACTTTTTCCATTGTCGTCACCATGAATCTTCATGTACAAAATAAATGTGATATCTACCATTTTCGACTATTTTTCCATACTATTATCGTTTTGAGTTATATTTAGACCATTGATATATGGTTTATGACTTAAGAAAATTCCAATTATATCTCATGTACATCTATGTAGCTGTAACAAGAATTTCTTGTTCTTCTTATGCTTTTGATTTTTCTCGTTTTATTTTTGTTTGTTAAACAACAGGAAATGCTTCAAACAAAGTACAAGAGTACATGAGATACAGTTGTAATTTTCTCTATAAATTCTCACTATTCATTCATGATTGAAACTTTCAGAATAGACGAAACAATTAATCATGTATCAATACGACAAAAATAATCGAGAATTAATCGAAAAAGTTAGATGTCTTGTTTATTGTACACAGAGAAAAAGAAAAATAAACAAAATTTTTCACTAAAATAATAAGACTTTAACAAAATATGGGAGTTAAATGTTTTCATTAAAACATTCAAGAAAAATATTGTCATCGTTGTTGTTACAGTGAATTTTATTAATAGAATAATCAATGATGCATTAGTATTCATTAAAATATCAGTCTATTGTGTTCTAATGGACAATTCTGGAAATCTAATTTTTTTCATCTGGCAAATAAGCGAAATGTGTACTTTAAAATAAAATTTAGAATGTAGCTTAAGATTAACAATCACTTGTTGCCAAGGTAAATCTTTCATATTATGCCTATATGGTTTTTTCAATGCTTTCAAATAGAATGTGACTGTGGGTAACGAGAGAATAGTCTACCACACGCCCACATCTATAATATTCAATTATCGAAAAAAAAACTTTTCAATAGTAAATAAATTTTTGTTTTCTTTTCTTAATGTCAGTATTGAAGATCCTCCAAAAAAATAGCTCTCAATAATCAGATAGTTCCGATACATCATTAATTCGTATATCAAAATCTTCTTTCATGATCAATATATTTATTTTTATAGCTACTATGTTCAATATGAAATATTGCATTTCCTTTTTTTTATTTCATCTTCAAATAAAGAATAATAATTTACACGATTAGATTTTGATTTGATATAGGCTTGTATCATTGATAAGTTTGATAAATGATTTAATGAAAATAATAAACAATCCGATTGATCAATACTAAATACAATTTATTCTATACATGATATTATTTTATAAAAGTTCTTCACATCATCAGATGACTTAAATGAATAATCCAGAAAACATTGTTTATCGAAATTATTAATCATTTTATTCAAATATTGGAAGATTTCATCGCCGTTGACAAATGACTCAATAAGATTCAGATCAATATATTTGTCCAATAATGCTATCAGCTTCTTGTTATCGTCTATATGTATTGTCAAGATCTTGAATGAATCCTCCTGAAAAATTCTTCATATTTTTCTAGATGAGGTTTCAGTCGTTGTCGAGAAATATTGCATATCTCCATCAGAAAAGCTTAGCACACTAAGCATAAATTCGATTGACTCAAGTACATTTAACATTCTTGTCATAAAATTTTGATATGTGATAATAAAAAGTCATTATGACTTTTTGTATAATGTATACTAAATCCTACAACTGAATAATATATACATATATCAAGAGTATCATATACTCTTCTCTTTTGTTGCTTATCCATTTGATTCTTATATTATATCATTCTTGATATAAATCATAATCGTCTTGTCATTGATCTCATTATTTCTTACTGTTGTTACACATCTTTTTCTTGTAATGTCAAATGCTGCAGTACTTCGCATCTCGTTACCATTTTCTTCATCATTGAAACTTTCAACTACAAGAAACGAAATAATAAACCAGAGAGACTTATACTACAGCTTTTTATGGAGCGTGTATGAGAAATGAAGGGTGCTACACTTCAAGGTAAAGTAGAACTCATATGCTAAATTTATTAGAAGATTTATTAAAGGATCTAAAATTATTGAACTCTATAATATTTACGATTAAATCATAGACTAACACAAAATAGTTAGAAAGTCTATAACGTTGGTAACTTGTTGGAAGACGGTAAAAATGTCGATATTTCCTCACGTTTCAAAAATTTTTCACTTTTTGAACGTTGCCTTAAACATTTCAATGTTAACTTCATCATTCAGACTCAATCACTAACCTGATTGACAAGATTACCGTACTAGCAAACGAACAAGATATAGATACATATAGGACTACAAATAAAAATACAACAGTATCAATTCGAGTTTTGATTGCAATTGCTGATGACTAGTCGATGCGTTTGAACCAACGATGAGCTGTCACTGAACCACACTTCATATCCTACGGAAAATAAACTTAAGAAATCATAAGAGACAAACAATAACTTACAATCTGTTGTTGACCTTCATCATTTACATAACGAGTTGCGATCCATTCTTTTCCATGCTTGTCATGAGTTGTATGTTCCCACGTACCATCTTTGAATCGAATGATTGTCTAAAAAGAATGAATAAAGAGAGTGGAAGATAAAACCCAAGAGATGAACATGTATATACTGACCGTGACTTCACGTCCATCAGGCGTTGTTTCATCAAATTCAACATTGGGAGTAAACTCGAGCGTTATGTTTTTGAATGTGTTCTCTAATCTCAATGTCCACTTACCATTATTTTCACTGATGACAATGCGAGGTTTAATACCTTTGGCCATCATACGCATAGCTGCTCCAATACCAATCTCTTTCATAAATGCATCCATGTTTTCATCATTAACCTAATGAGAAAAGAAAATAGATATGATGCAAATAGACAATATAAACATACATGATCCCAAGTGCCTTTGAGGGCTTCAACACTTTTGTCATTCGCCATATCTTGCGTAGTTATTGTTATAAGCAAAGACGTAAGTAAACTAGAACAAGATTTACACCTGCTTTAGGTAACTTTGTCAAATGAACACTGTCGGAAAACTACACAGAAGGATTAGAAAAGTTCAAGTTTTTTAGAGATAAAGTTGAACTTCATACTTATGTTTCTTCGGTTGCAGTCTTTCTCGAAAAGAACTGCACATGTGTAATACGTGCAAACGTCACACTACATCATTTTTACATACAGGTCTTTTTATGAAAAATAAATTCTTTAATAATGACACATCTCCTAACTTGCAATATCATAAGAGTAATATCCAATGCAAAAGTCTCATTATTAATTGTGAAAATCGACGACATCTACGTGAACAATAGTCTAACAAATATTTATGGCGTTGATGTTGGAAGAAAAGAAGATTCGGATTATACGATAAACATGAGGACACATTATTTAAAATGTAAATGCATGGTAAGAATCAAAGGTAACTGACCAAACATCAAATAAGGACGATATTTCTAGTTTACGCTACGACACATGACAAACTAATAGAAAAAAGAAAGAAATATTTTCATCGGTGCATCCAATGAAAATCCGACACATTATAGAAACTTAGCAACTACAGAAATTATTTAATATCAACAACCAAGAGAAAAGAAAAAAAAAAGAAGCGACGTCCGTGTTTTCTGACGAGACATCCCATACAGATAGTTTTCTTTTTGTGTTCTTTGCTGGATTTGCTGAAATATTAAATATAAACTAAAGTGGAAGACATGAGAGAAAAACACTCTAATAAATATTAGTAATTCAAAACTCAAAAAATTTACACAGTATAATTATATCGTTTATTTCCGTCTAGAACTATCATAATAAAATCTCATCAAGTTAATAAGAGAAAAAAATTTTGAAAATAAAAGTATTCATTCTCGATTTGGTCGAAATTTTTATCAGAGATATTTAACTTGTTTGTATGTAGTCTGAAAAACAACTTTGATTTATCGCTTTGATTAGTGACCGCGAGAAAAAAGTACAACAAATGTGAAACTTGAAGTTTTATGTATTAGTCATTTTATGTCAGCTAAAGTTTACCATACTCAATCGATGATATCGACTTGGAAAATTATTATCTAGGTTATAGGAGCAAACATTTAATGAATCTCTACTCAAGTCATCTTTCATTTTCGAGATATCACGATTTTTCTGGAAGCAGTATCAAAAAAAGGAAACATTTTGTAATTTTATCATCATCTGTATCTCATGAAAAATTCATCTATTTGACTTGAACCTTTCACTGTGAGTATATAACATACTTAACTATTTCTGTAAGAATGAATAAATCATAATGGAATGTAAGTAGCGCAAAGGCCAATGAGGGTTCCTATATTTTAAGGAATCTTTAACAAGATCAGGTCTTTTGCTAAAATCACGATTTTAAGAGAATCGATCTACAGAAAAGTCAAGTCTCTAGAGATCGGATTTAAATATTCGTAAACTATACACTAATGACTATGATACTAGGCGTTGAATTATCCTAGAATGTTGAAAAATAGTGTTGTGAGACTTATTGAAATAGGAACTTTACAATCAGGTCCTATATCCCCTACAACATGTAGTTTTTGTTAGGAAAATCCATGAAAATTTCATCATACGTAGAAATTTTGTATTTACTCCATATCTGTCTTCCCATATGTGGTAATTTAAGGAAAGGGTGTGAGTATGGGAGTATGTGGGTGTGTTGGTGTGAATTTGGATGTGGGTGTCGCACAAGAGAAGGCCTACACCCACACCCACCCTAACTGCTCACCCAGTTACTGGAACTGGTGCATCCATAATTCGAATCAACTAACTAAATATGGTAGGAGAATAGTAAATTAATCTCTCTTTCATCTAAACCATATGTAACAAAGAAATTATGAAACTTAAGAGTAATATTAAAGTGTGAACCAATGCTTTATGTATAAAGTATTGTACTCTTTGGACTCCTATCGTACACCCGAAGTTCGTGTAGTTCACAGAGTACGGATGTGTGGGAGTACGTCGCTTCCTTCTTGAACTATATCTCATACATTGTTTCATTGTCATTTTTTCTTGAAGATGTAGACATAACGGTAATAAAATTGAATCTTTGTTGTCCGAAATGAATATTCACAATATGAATGTCTACGAACTATATCTTCGTCACTATTATTTATCATAACGAATTTGAAATTTGAGAAAAGATTTTTTCCAACTTGTGTGCTATGTTAAACAATGTTACCGTGAATTAGTAAATGCATCTAAAAATACTGACTTAATAGAGATGAATTCTATGGTCTGAAAACGTTTATTTACAACTATTTTTAATTGAATAATGGACATGATACATTATTCACATTGATTAATTGACGATCGACTAGAATAGAAACATTGTTTTCAATTCTATAATGCAAAAAATCTGCATCTGAACAATAATAAAATGATGCACTAAATTAAAACTTTGTTCACTATTAATATATCTGTCATGCACTATAAAGCTTCACGTTTATAAAATTTAAAGTTAATTTGAATATTACTTTAATTAATTATTTAATCTTATAGCCTGAAAAAGGAGCACATTATTTATCAAAAAATAGACGTTATTGTAATGCTTTACTGTAACCATATGTTATGTCAGAGTATAGATATGAAAAATATCAAAGAATCATTGAATTTTATTCATTAAAACATCGTACATAAATAAGCATGCGCTTGTTGATTAGTAGCTGTATTTTTGGAAGAATTCTTATTACAAAGAGTTTCGATCAACCATTTTTGCAATGCTTTAACATTTCGAACAATTCAAACTCTGAAGATTTTCTTTCTTTTAAAATTCCGACACTACTGTTTTGACATGTAGTGTCAATAAAGAATTCTGTCTTCGATTAAAATTACGATATGAGCATACATTCAATAAATGACATAGTTATGTTATTTTCTGTTCTTTCGTCTATCTGGTAAATAATCAAAAATATAACGGAATACATTGTATTTTGGCTTGACCGATTAAAATTCTCGATGAGTACAATTGAGTCGTGCATTTTAAAATATTTCTGATAAATAAAATAGTCAAGTAATGGATGACGATAATTCTTTACTGGATAATCACGATATAATAGAACGTTTGTATAAACATAGGAATCATAAATCGGGTGTCGGTGTTAGTGTTTGTCGGTATGCTGCTGTAGCCGCCGATGTTTATAGGTGCTTCTATTCTCTTCACTCACACGACATCCATATACTCATCCTAACACACACTTCTACACATCAACACCCACCCTCTCCAGTTGAACGTTGAAAAGCATTTGCTCGTTATGCTGAAACACCTTGTCATTGTACCATATTATTGAATACTATTCTTAACATTGGCTACATGCCGGTAGGATACTATTGGCTATTTTATTGCGGTCAAAAGACTAAACTGAGTTTTTATTCAGGTGTCTTCTCATGAATGACACTTATTTATAGTGTCATGCAATATTCTCCTATTGCTATACAATGACATCTTTTTCTGCTGTACTCGATTAATAACATACATTGTGGTTTACATCATGGGCACTTATCTGGACATTGACCTTACATGTCAATGACGATAAATGGTCGATTAAAAACCTCATACTCATGGATTCTCTTCTCGTTCTGATCCATTCAGCGGGTTTCGAAATGGCACTTAGTCTAGATTTCTCCCTCATTTTTTTTCGATCAATCATACGGCTTTATCTAAGCATGCAGGAGAAAAGCTATTTGACTTACCGTTACTACTTGTTGCTTATGGTCTTTTCGGACTAGTTAAGATTTGTCCTATTCGCATTACTCGACTTACAATTAGCATCTCTATAAGCATTTGCATTTATTGTGTCTTCAAAATATGTTCTCTAGAGGTTTTATGATTCTCCACGCATTCATTTTATCACTGCACTGTTCACATGATTCGAATATCACAAAGTCAAAATGTACGTTGAAAAGATGAAGTGACAAGAATAGTACGGAGACTCTTTTCTCAATGCAAATAAACGAGTGCATCTCTCGAAAGTTGATAAAATCAGAAATATTGATGATGATAATATACTATAACGAGAGAGTGACATTGAACGAAGGACAGGTGGTTGAGGGTGAAGAGAACATTCTGACATCCACACTAATTTCAACCACTCTCAAATGAACACCTGTCCCTCGCCAAAAGAATTGCGTAGGTGAAATCCATCATGTAGAACTTTGAAGATTGAGAAGTTTTTCGTGGATCTGATCCGCGGATTAGCGAAAAGTCAATTAGGAAAGTGTCTTCGATCACATGCAGATTTACCATCGACGTGTAAAAGAAAAGCAAAGTACCACTCCCAGCAGATTCAGAGACTCGAAGAAAGTGTTTGCACCACTGGTGACGGATATATTTTGTTTGTATATACGTGGAACACGGCTCGAGAAGGAACAAAGTACTTCTAACATCGGCACATTTGCCTCCAGAGCAACGTCGTCAGCAGTAATCGTATCGTTGCCTTGTTGTCCAATAAAAGTCACGCGAGTGCCGACCGGATACTTTTGATCGAGAGCGATCATAAGTTGATCCATGGAGATACGTCCGACGATCGGTAACCGGTTTCCTGCGACGAGAACGCCAGTTCCTTTGAAATTTTGATGCCATCCGTCAGCATATCCTATAGGTACAGTACCAATCCATTGAGGTTCTGTTGTTGTATATGTGCCTGCATAACCAATTTTCTCACCAGCATTCAGTTGTTTGACGAGGTCTATTGTCGAGTGAAGAGACATGGCAGTTTGAAGACGGAAGGGAAGCAAGTGTTGTAACGACTCATCCGGTGGACCTGTCAACGCTTGTCCGCACCGAACCATATTAAAGTATGGCTTTTCGATTTGATATAGAGTAGCATCCGAGTTTGCACAGTGAATAATTTTTTCGGTTCGATTAGGAATGACTTCGAGAAACTCGTTGAAGCGTGCGAGTTGCATTAGAAAATAAGTTCTGTTGCTCA